ATGTCATAACTTAGGTTAAATTGGGCAGTTGTTACCAACTTACCACTACAACTAATACTTTAGCATAGTAAATTTAAATACCTAATACTGTAACTTGTTTACACCAAAGGATCAAGAACAAGCAGTTAGAACAAAGGAATATACAACGCAGTTGTATCCTTGTTAAACTTCACCTTACTTAGGCTGTATTCATATAACAAGAGACTTTCAATGCATTAAAGGTAGTAATTAATACACTAAGTAACTAATCTTATAACACTATAAATATAAAAGGTAAAATAAAACATACCATAAATGTACTTGAATCACATAATAAGTGAGTGGTCAAACACACGTCTGATCCCGATCACATTCAGGAGGCCACTGAGACAGCAATTATACTGTACATACATATCAGATTCAGATAATTTATTGTCAAAGTGTACATGAAAATCTATAAATTTATTAGGTTGTATACAGATTAAAATTCATGATGAATGCAAAAAAAAAGCCAAACTTAACTACCTAAATCATATACAGTATATTCCTTTTTATGATGATGAAATAATAAAATGCTTAAAAACCCCCTTTTAAATATATCCCTGTCTTACTATTTGAGTCAGATTATTTACGCAGATTCAAGTTTATAAGAAAAATTAAATATATACCAAAATAATTAATCTGACTCAGTGCATCTTATTCATTTAATGGATGCCCATAGGTGTATTTATAATATACACTCTGTTGTGTGCTTGTTAGGTTTTTTTATACAGAAAAACCAGAAAAATATACAGGTATTAAAGAAAGAATAAACAAACTTGCAAATATCAAAATTAATGAAAATCAAAGAAATACTAGTTGATAGCAGGGGCGTACCGTGCGGGGATTGATGGGTGCTGTCGACCCCCCATTTTAAAGAAAGTTCCCTTTAAATATGCTTGCTTCACTCACAAATAACGCACCCCGCGAATTCTGAAAGCTTCGCTAAATTGCTCCGAGTTCAGCTTGCCCCCTGCGCTTTCGTTTTGACCCCCCCTAGATTTTTCACCGTACGCCCCTTGGATAGGCTGTACAAAAAAGCCCCAATAGATTGAAAAGTAACATTTTTAACATCAATATGCAAGAAAGTAACATTTATATGCATTATATGATTAAAAACTTACACTACAAAAATATAAAATCATAAGATCAAAAGTGTGTGATTCAAATTTGATGAGAACTACACTATAAACAGTTGAGGTTGGCAGATTACAGTATTAATGTTTTCAGTTTAATAACTTCAACTCTATAGATATCATTTATGTAGAATAATTGATATTTTAACAGTTTACAAAAAAACCATAACTTCAGCTCTATGTATATCATATTCAATAATCAAATATTTTAACAAGTTTATAAACATTATGCAACTTTATATTTCGATATTAATGTATTCAATAATTATTTTAAGTTTAAGATCCATAACTTAACTCTATGTGGATGATATGAAATAATGGATATGTAGATATTCCTACACTTATAAATTTGAATTGTTAAAAACACACAAGTGAAGCAAGTGGACTGTCAGTATTTAATAATTGAATATTTTGACTGTTTTGTCACCATTATTTGCTACTGCAAGTCTCCTTGGATGATATGAAATGACGGATAATCCCTCTGGATAGTTGATTCCATCTTCTGGTTTATCAATTCTTTTTATGAAAGTTCCATCACTACTGAATAGCTGTAGTTTGTGGTCACTTGATATAATGATGTTGTCATCCTCATCAACTACTACTGCACATGGATATTTTACCTTACCATCCTCATCACCTGCTTTAACAAGGACTTTTATAAACCTTCCCTCATTATCAAATAACTGTAATCTACTTGTTCCAAAACCTAAATATTCACTCTCCAATACAAGAAGGTGTCCTTGATTTGTAAGAGTAACATCCTTAACATAACTCATTTCACCTTCTTTTGTACCTTGTGACCCTATTGTTTTGATGGTCTTGCCATTATTCATGTCAAACATGTACACACAGCTACTGATCAAACCTACTGCATACAAAACATTTGATGTCTCATCCACATGAATGCTCCATGGTGTATTCTTTGCTCCCACACTAATTGTTTTAATCAGCTGACCATTCATATTGCATATTCTGATAGGTTTATTACCACAGCAATCACTGAATGCTATGTTACCATTCTTCATTTTGTACATTTTGTAAACTTCCACACCTTGTGGTAGTGTAACCTTACCAATATATTCTCCTGATTGCTTGTACTTGAGCATTTCATTTGTCCAACATGAAACCAGTAAGGAGTCATCTTCACACTTAACTACATTTCTAATACTTGTTGCATTTATTTTAATAGTATTTACTAATCTTCCCTCTTCTACTTTGATTGTCATTGGTGATTGGTTAACTGGTTCATCATCAGCACTCACATCTAGTTTACAAACTCCTGGACTTGTGCATTTTTCTGTTACAAAATAATCTCCATTGTCATCTTCCTGAATTTGAGAGATGTTGGTGTCCCCTGTAGGCTGTGTCCATGTTGCCTTCAGTTGATTTGCATATATTTCATGTTCATCTGTTTTGATTATTTTGACAATAATTGTCTGATCTTTGCTGACAGATTCCTCTCCTTTTAATGTTAAACAGTCTGCTGCCCTGAAATCTTTTACAGTCCCTATAGCACATTGTCTCAATGAAGTCGTTTGCTGTTTGTTTATGAAGTAGTAAATTTCTCCATTATCATCTGGCTCTGTTTTTGGTAATTCATTGATTCTGTCCCTGAGTGCTGTAACTACTGTTTCACTTAACTGCATTGCAGTGCCTTCATCACTCTTCAATAATTGATTAAGAAAAGACAGTTTTGTTTTTATATCAGATAATATTGCTTTAAATTCATCCATTTGTACATCATTTACCTTCTTTTTCCTTTTGTAGATTGTCTCTACTTCATTTTTCATTTTGTCTCTATTCTCTTTTACTTTTTTGAATATTTCTTCTACATGATTGTCTATATCTATTAAACATGTGTCTTTATTTTGTTGTAATTTTTGTAGCATTGTGGATAACAGCTTTGAGACCACCTTCTAATTTGTTTATGAAGTGTTTGGCAGATTTTTCCAAGGTGGCTGAAGTTTTTTTAAATGTTTGGAATGCGTCTGAAATGTTGATTGGTTTGTGTTTTCCTTCCCATTCCTTGTGCTCCATAATTGTACAGTTAACACAGATTGGAGTTTTACAATCTGTGCAGTAGAACTCCAAAGGTTTACTGTGATGTGAACACTGAGGCGGATGTAACAAAGTCATCTGAGAGGGGCTCATTGATTGCACATCCACCATTAAATGTAACTTGTGATTTGCCATGGCTTTAAACTTCTTATGTTGATCACTACAAGTAGAGCACAAGTACTGTCTGCAATCCTGGCAGTAGTATTTTACTTGTCTTTCCTTTTCACAAACACTACATTTCATGTGATCACTCTCTGAAAATTGTTCGATAGTTTTTAATAAGTTATTTAGAAAGGTATTTGGTGGAAGCTTCTCAAGCCCTCTTTTTGGAATTGGATATGATTTTGAGCAAGTTGGGCAAGTCAGCTTACCCTTCTCCTTAACCCAGTCTTCCAGGCATGCCAAACAGAAACTATGGAGGCAGTTGAGGGATTTTGGATTTTGAAGTCTCTTAAAGCAGATGGTACAATCTAAGACCTGTCTCTTATACACATCTAGATGTGTATAAGAGACAGCAAATACTGTCTGCAATCCTGGCAGTAGTATTTTACTTGTCTTTCCTTTTCACAAACACTACATTTCATGTGACCACTCTCTGAAAATTGTTCGATAGTTTCTAATAAGTTATTTAGAAAGGTATTTGGTGGAAGCTTCTCAAGCCCTCTTTTTGGAATTGGATATGATTTTGAGCAAGTTGGGCAAGTCAGCTTACCCTTCTCCTTAACCCAGTCTTCCAGGCATGCTAAACAGAAACTATGGAGGCAGTTGAGGGATTTTGGATTTTGAAGTCTCTTAAAGCAGATGGTACACTCTAAGACCTTCTCATCAACATGTTCCAGAAACTGATTCAGCTTACTGGTAGCCATCTTGAATTGATATCCTGTGAAATTTAAATAATAGGTGATATAATTATTATCATTTGAACTGGATAAATAATAATGTCATGCAATTATAGTCTAATGACCCTATAGAAAATAATGGCTTCTATCTCCTATTTTGTATAGGGTCTGAAATAACTTGACAATAATTCCTTTATTAAGTCAGTAATATATAAATGTATGGTACTGTATATATAATCAAACTACTGGTCATGGTGGCTAGTTGTCCAGTGATCAATACAGGACCTGTGCATGTGTATTAGCTGCATGTCAGAGACGGTTTACTTACATGTAGAGGGGAATATATAAGCAACAGTATTCACACGAAATGAAGTCAAGTGTTATACGAGCCAAATTGAAATTTTAATTCAAAAATCAGATTTAATCATCGCAAGTCATAGTTTAAATTGCAAAGTAAACACCACTCTCAAAAAATATATGGGACTTGGAAGACAACACACAGCAACATCAATTTTCCTGGTCAATACTAAAATGGTCATCATCGTACTCCCCCAACTCTAAGATGTAATTTGTGTCTATGGGGAAATGTTACATAATCACCAGTAATAAACTTCAAACAAGAAAACAACAGGGGCGGATCCAGAGATGTCCAAAAGGGGGCCCTGAAAAGGGAGCCAAAATTTGGGCTGATCGAGTCGGCCCCCCTCTAAGTCTGCCCCTGAACAGGACATTTTCCCACAGTCTGTACCACCTGGTCATTAGCTTTCTAGCCTTGATAGTGTGTAGCCAAGCATGAAACTTGAAATAAATGGCATGAATTGTTTAGTATTGCTCCTAACAAATTTGTTACGGCTCTCTATATATAAGATTTTTTTCTTCTCACCAGTTGCGAATGTGGTGTGGTGTTCGCTGCTTGTGGAATATGAAGTTAGGGCATGAAGGACTTAGTTTAGAAACTAAACTCATTCTTCCATGGTTAGTGTAGGCCAAAATGTCTTGGTAGTCGGTCAAGAGGAAAGTGTATACAGTCGATACATAGTGAACCACCGTAATTGACTATTACTGTAATTACAAGATAGTATAATATGTACTACAGTATATATATCGATATATAAATCGAAATGCACGCCATTGTGTCGGGATTCAATATTTCGACATTAATTGTGTCAACAGCTGTAATTACAATCGACAGCGTTAACGTACAACATGGTCTTTAAAAGTATATAAGGGCAGCGCTGAATTACTGGTCGATTATTTGAGTAGTGTAAATTATAGCAATAATTAAAAATACTATAGTACTGCCGTACTAATTCTAAAGGAAAGTTTAGAAATGTTCAGACACACAGGTACAATTTTATGTATTGTTTTAATGTTCACTTTTTGTATTCTTCAAACCTTTTAATCTATGAGTGCATTTTAAAAATTAATGGGGTGATGTATGCACTCCCAGCTTCCATCTCTGCTTTTGTGCAGTGGCTCATTTTTCGGACCCCTTTTTTCCGTCACGTCGGACCCTTTGTTAGAAAAATTCTGGTGCCACCGCTGCTTCACTGTGATAATGTTTTTAACATTAATTTTATAATTTTTTGCACAAATTTCAGCTACCATATTTTAATCTAACCTCTGTGACGATGCAAATATACATAATCTTAAGCTGGGCTTATGCGCCCTTGTGACTCGACTCAACTCAACTGACATCAACTGACCTTTGGCAACTTGCCAGCAACTGGCAAGCAACTGTGAGTCACATGACTGAGACTGACATAAGCGCACTTTGCGATCGAAAGCAACTGAAAAGCAACTGGAAATTGTCATTTGCCCTCAGTTGCTTTTAGTCGCCTATGTTCTATATTGTAGCGATTCAAAGCAACTGGCAAGCGACTGAAAATGCTACTGCGCATGTCGATTATAAAGTTACGTTTACCGCCGATAATAATTTGGCGTGGTTTATGTAAATTGAATATGAGGGCGCACGAGTGAACAACGATTTCGTCAGTAGCTCCGTCGGAAATCATAGATAATTCCAAAATTAACAGTAATCGGTGATTATTTTGCAAAAATCGTAAGTGATTCTTATTACTTATAATAATATACTGAAAAGCTGACGACCAAACAGGCCAATATGGGTAGAAAAAAGGAGAAATCAGCTGCTGCACACTTAGGGCCTGAGCCTGAATCGCCTGAGCCATCGGGAACGGCCGACCAATCAAACACGGAAACGCTGAGGCGGGAGATTCGGAAGCTTTCGACTAAGATCGACTCGGTACTAAGCAATCAGCACACTATACTTGGGCGTATCGATGTTATAGAAGCTAAACAAGTTGATATGGAAGCATCGCTACAATATTCGAGTGAGTCGATAACCAATCTTGAAAAGAAAGTAGCCGATTATTCCATCGAGCTTAAGGCTGTATCAACGAGCGTTTTAAACGATAAGTCCATCATCGAGGCACTAGAAACTCAAATCAACAAAATCGAACGATATTCTAGAAGTTTTAATTTGAGATTTGGAGGCCTACAGGAGGAATCTACTGAAGACGCTATAAAGAAAATTAAGGATCTTATTGCCAATGAATTAAAAATGCCTGGTATAGATATAGAAAATGCCCATCGTATAGGAAAACCCCGAGCACCCAACGAGAAGCCACGTCATATCATTGCAAAATTCCTTTACCGACCTCAGCGATTCCAGGTGTACATTAAAGCGAAGACGTTACTCAAAAACAGTAATATTTTTGTAACCGAGGATCTTCCTGAAGCGGACTTGGTGAAAAAACGAGGCTTAAGAGATGTTATGGCTAAGGCATACAAAGAAGGGAAGAGGCCCCTATTCCGTAATGGGAACCTCTACATTAACGGTCAGCTGTATAAATAAGGGACTCACATTCATCGTATCATGTATATAATAACTTTGATATGGAAACTGTTCATATGTATCTGCTATGGCGGAGTAAACTATAGTTACTGACATGCCAATTATGATAAACATTTGTATATGCATTTGCTTATTTGTTTGTATATTTTATTTTAATTTATTTAAGGCATCAAAAAAAAGTTTTGTTTGCTTAAAACTTAATATAATAATTATTCAAACTTAATGGAAGATGACATGATACATTCTGATTTTGACAACAGCATCAGCGTCACTCCTGCCGAATTTAGCGACGGTTTCAGTTCAATTCTCCCAAATTCACTTTCAGTTTTCCACGCTAATATTAGATCTATTAATAAAAATTTTGAGGAATTCAATACAGTGCTTGACTCATTAGGTAATTTTAAAATCATCGGTTTATCTGAAATTTGGCAAGTGGAAAATCCCAGCTTATTTTAACTGAATGGATATTCGTTTGAATATAACCGTCGTGAATCCGACAGGAGTGGTGGGGTTGCTGCTTATATTCACTCTTCATTAAATTACACAATTATTGATCACACTGTGATTAATTCTGAGTCTCTTTGGTTGGATGTGACAGATAAAAAAGATCATTTTATTGTAGGTATTATTTATAGAAAATATAATTCTAATCTCTCTGAGTTTTATAATAGTCTTCTTGATATATTGTGCTCGATAAATATTGATAAAAAACGTTGTATCCTGATTGGTGATTTTAATTTTAATCTTTTAGAAACATTAAGTACTGA